TACAGGCTTCTTTGGATGATGATACAACGTGTGTAGCCATTTACTTGGCTCAGGCTCGGCGTGCTTAGATTCCCCGCCTTGGGATACTCAGTGACGGGTAAGGACGGAAGCTTCTGTCTACCAACCTAAGACAGGTTGTATTGGGACATGAGCCCTGCGACTGATGATGGGTAAGGAGATAGAAGACTTCTGCCACCTAAAACAGAGGTTCCTTGGCTGATGTGTGATGAGTTGATAGCATTCTTCATGCTATCAAAGAGAGATGGGGGAATTATGGCGAGCCATTATGGTGAGCCTTGACACAGGCCTAGCCATGATTGAACTTTGAGTCACCTCGCTGGCACGGACGTGCTCTCGCCCATAGCCATGGGCGAGTTCAGCTGGTAGCAGATGTAACCCATAATGGTTGTTGTTTCCCTCTGGAATGTGTGGGCGGTACTCTCGCTCCCGTGTAGCCCTCGCTCCCATGCAGCTGGAACGTATAAAAGGAAGAGGTTCTGTAATAAAGATAGCAAGGAACATGAGAAGAAAAGTGCCTCCTGTCTCTCTGTCCTCGTCCTTTCAGGTTTAGGACCTGCTGGCAGGATCCTGACGTCGCGGCTCGCGACAACTATCCACATGGCATGGACCTGCTCACAGCCTGTTCCTACGGGTGATGAAGAAAGACAACATCTAGGCTCCAATGTTTCACTGTAAAACCTTTACTCGCTATACAACCTAAAAAGTATATATTTCTGAAATTGCATCACTGCATCATGGAGAGAAGTATCCCTCATTATTCAGCATAGTGCAATTTTGTCTATGTTATGCACTGTTTTAATTTAAATAACACCTGCAGTGATCTAGAGCACTCAAAGTTGAGTCTTTAACTGTCCTTTGGTGTCTCTGAAATTTTCATACCATCACACAGATAATCACTAGACCACAGACTACAATTAATGTGGATAAGAAGAACTATTTTTAAAGAGAGGTCAAATATTTAGAGGGATATTTCTATTTGTTTTGTGAGATGTCTCAATTGTACAGAATGAAACTCAACTTACTTGATATCATTTTTAAATAAATCAATCTCAGTTTCACTGTGTTCATACTGTGAGTCTCAGGCTGTGCTTCTCACCTGTTCTAAGGGCAGGAGAGCAAAGACAGCCTCAAAGACCCACACTCAGTAATGGGTATTTCTTCAAAGTGGAATGTAGAAGCCAAAGCAAGCAGTATTAAGTATGCTTGAGAAAAAGAAGAGAAGAGCTCACAGCACTACTAAAATGTGAACTTAGAATTGGGAACACATGGCAACAGTTAAGTAGCTGATAGGTTAATGACTCAGGTGCTACATATATGTTTTAAAATGTGGCATTTCCAGTGATTGAATGCAAGCAGGAAATCCATTCTGGAACCATGAGGGCAGCACTGAGGCTTCTGAGGGGAAAAGAGCAGAAAGCCAGCCAGCAAAGGAGGAAGGGGCAGGGCGGACAGACGGGAAGACTGAAAAATGGGAGGAACTGATGAAAGTGAGGGAAGGGGGTGAAGATAGAAAATGGCAAAGGAGTGGGAAGAGCAGGATGCAGTCAGCGGGGTGTTGGCAGGAACAGGGCAGGGGAGCTCCCGCTCTGTGGGTCTGGAGAGGGGCTGGGGGATGCAGGAGATGCAGGGCCTGCATTGGGGTGCAGTGCAGAGGCCTGGCCACCTCTGTCCCGTGGAACCTTCTCCCTCCCTCCCCACAGCGCTCCTTCCTGCCCTTGCTGCAAAGTAAAGCTCACCTGTGTCCTCAGCGAGGACTTATCTGACCGAGGCCAGAAGCAGAAATGCACCTCTCCATGCCACAGATCCCCAAAGGAAGCAACCAAGCTCTGACATGCTGTGCTGGTCCCTCACTCAACACAGCAGCTCTCTAGTCCCACTTCTGGGACCCGGGACATGGGGTCCCATGGGCAGGGAGCCTGGCCAGGTGTCTTAGGTCTGCAGCTTAGCACAGACCCCACCTTGGCCCACCTTCATCTTGTAACGCATCTTGTTACAGTGGCCATGCACACCTGTGCTTGTAGCGGCACAGTGCCCACCAGCTACATCTTGGTGGGGGCCCAGATGTCCACTGACAGATTATAAGATAGAGAAAAAGTGGTGCTTACACCCAACGGGGTACTACTTTGCCACAAAGAAGAATAAACTTGAGCCATCTGTAGGAAAATGGATGCACCTTGAGAGAAATGCAGATGGAGTTTTGTGCAAATGGGAAGGGGACGAAGAGATGGAGGGTGTGGGAAGAGCAGGGGAGGTGACCAGAAGTGAGGTCTGGAGTGCAAGGACCACACCTATGTGGAAGGTGGTCGTTATGTGCTGCACACTGGGACTTGTGAAAACAACAAGTAAAACAAGGCCCCGAGGAAAGGATGGCAGGGCCACCGGCTTTGCGAAGCCTCTGTCTCTCCAGTCCCTCCTCAGAGTGGAATTCACTGGTGACCAGCTGAATGCCCAGATGCAGAGAGTGGCCTCTCCTAGGTTGGAGATGCCCAGGGGGGCTTCGTGCACAGGCCCCGTGTGGGTGGGCCCCTCATGGCCCCTCGTGGGATGTGGGACACTAGACAGATGTCTGGAGCAGCGCTGCAGAACTGTCACGACCCCTCCCTCTTCCCAGGTGCACGCCCTGCAGCCCTAGCAAGCAGCACCTGCCACCTTCTCCCCAGGAGCTGGGCACTGGGTGGGGAGGGAGCGGGCACCAGGGTGGCTCTTTGTCACATAAAGCCCCATGCAAGGCCTCTGGGACCTGCCGGCACAGAGCAGCACACCTACACTGTTCCTAAATGGCTGCTCCTCTGTGGACAGTGAAAGAACACATAGAAACAGTGCCTGAGGGCAAAGACTGTCACAGCAGGGGATAGATATAGATATAGATATAGATATGCAGCTCCTCACAAAGGCCAGGGTGCCTTTCTGATCTGCATCAGTCCAATGTGAGCAGGTGGAAAGAGTACCCATGGTCTCTTAAAATTCATGTGCAGTCTTCTTCATGCAGTGAAATATCCCGAGGACTTCAAAATGAATAGCCACTGAGCAGTCCAAGGATACTCCATCAGTCTCTCCATAACACTTTTGATATAGTCAGAGCGATGATGGAAATAAAGTGAGGTCTGGGAAGTTGGCAGCACTTGCAGTCAGGGAATCTATCTCAGGTGTTTGGCACCTTCTCTTGGGGCAAAGGATTAGAGTCTGGCCAGTCCCTCCTCAACCACCCAGGAGGGGACTCCCCACTGCCCCTTACTTCACCTGCACAGCTGGGCTTGCCTGGCCACATACAGCCACGCCCATGTGCATGACCCTCACTGACATTCTTAGCTCTCATTGCCAGCAGCATCGGCAGGGCCATGAGTTATTCTGATTGAAAAGCTCATGAATATAAATCCAGTGTTAACTGAATGCCTCCACCAATCTTTTGCTGTGGCCCATATTTTTTATTTTAATAATTAAGATAGCCCTGACCTTTGCTTTCTAGAACACAACCAGGCTAAACCAAATATTACATCGCAAAGCTCTGACTTCCATCCATAAGTACATCTACATTGAGTATGCCTCCATTGGCTAATGACTATACAGGTAGCCAAGGGAGTACAGACACCCAGTGCATTGCCACACTCTTAGCCCTGTACAGTGTTCATGTTCCAGTAATTTTTATCATGCAAACTTATTAATACCATGTGAACAACATCTGATAATATTATTTAATAATTTGTGTGGATTTTATTTGGAAGTTCATCCCAGTTAATATAGGATAGACATAATAAATGTAATAAACAAAATCCAGTGAAACTAGCTCTTTGGTCAAAATCAAATAGCCAGCAGTTGACTGGATTAAGTCTCCAGGTCACACCATGGTGCCCCACACTGACCATAACTTCTAGTGGATTAAAAGTTGGGGTTTGCAAAGTGAGGACAGAGGCCAACACTTTCTCACTGCAGTTAGGACCCTGTGTCTACAGGAGCTAAAGACAGGCTAGTTATGAGAACAGTTAGCTAAGAGCCTCACTTCTGCCTACTCAGTGCCTTAAAACCACAGCTCTTCTGGAAAATAGGAATGGAAGAAGGCAAAGATGGAAGTCAAATCCCTGCAGCTCTGAATGTGAATTGGCAAGGTCAGCAGTGACTTTATCTGTGTGTCTGATGCAGCCCTGCCGAGCCCTGCTCAGGCTGAGAAGGCCCAAGCAGGCCAACAGTGTTCCACTCCACTGTGCCAACTGCCTGTGTTAATGGCCATCTCCCACCAAAAAAGAACCAGGATTGCCTCCCAAAATGGCCAACCTGGGCTTCAGGAGGGTGGTGAGAAGTTAAATGATGTGGTCAAGAAAACTTTGAAATGCAAATACAGAGCTGTGCATAATATATATTTTAATACAACTAATTGGTATACAACATTACCAGTGTAATATTTTCCAGCTACCAAAAATACTACCACTATAGACAGACTCTGGATGATGCCATTGCTGCCACGGCTTGGAGATCTGTGCCAGTTCCTTTTTCAATTCAAGAAGTCAAATGAGTCCAAGTGCTCACCAGCAGTGTCTCATCATATACATCCCCCATAAGGGACAGCTGTTTAAATACAGGCTGATTTGATTCAATCCCAAAAGCACAGACGCATTTCAGCATCACAGGTACCTGGGAACCAAAAGGATTGGCTAGGACTGTGCATTTATTTTAAGAAAATAATTATTCCAGATAAGAGGGAGAGAGGAGCAAATGGGGAAGAAGTGGTGGAAGGAAGAGTGATCAGACAGTATTTTCATGACAGGAGAGATAAAAGTGGACACTAACTAGAACAAGTGTGTTAGTGTCTGCAGCATCCCCATTGCTAATGGTCTTCAGGCCAGGTCCATAGACACCATGGAGGAACCGTGCCCTGCTACTGGGTGCCTGGTGATGATAAACTAGTGCTCATTTGAGCCTGAGCAGAACACAATTAGGAATGGGAGTGAGGTGCCCTGTGATGATAAACTAGTGCTCATTTGAGCCTGAGCAGAACACAATTAGGAATGGGAGTGAGTTATAACCAAAGAACAAAGAAAAATGGATTTTAATATCAACAACCCCGGAAAACTCCATTTCTAATTTGGAGGCCACTAATAATGGAACATATTCATGATCCTTAGCATGCAAATGTTCTAAATGGCAAAGTAGCATAACTAAAGACCCTCATTTCTTGATATTAAAATATTAATGTACAACTTCATGAACTCTATTTTGCTGATTTAATCAAGATTCCTTGCTTAAGAAAAGCATAATTATATGGTTTTTAAAATCCTCTTGAAAAAGACCTGGCATTAAATTTTTCTTCTACTCTTTCTTCCCAAGGAACTGGAAAACACATTACAAAATGGAAAACTAGGTAGCATTCACTGAGTGCTTATGTGCCAGAGACTTTTCCACTGAATACTCGCAGATGTTCTGTGTGGTCAGGGTTTCTGTGGATGGAGGAACATTGTGTACTTGGCTGAATTAAAGGGAGAATGCCAGACTAGGCTGCCAGGTCAAAAACCTGATGCAGGCCGCTAGGGTGCACCACCTCTCCCGGATCCCACCCACTCTGCCTTCCTGGAGGCCTTCTTCCCCTGTGGGGTGGCCCCTCCACCAACCTGTTGGAATCCTGGCTTTTCCATAGCCCTCCTCCAAAGCTGATCTTTCTGTGAAGCTTCCACAGGTCATGGGTCCTCCGACCTTGTCCTTATGCCTTCATCCCCAGAGCAAGGCAACCGATGCTCTTACACATGGCAGACCCCTGACAGCTTCATTACATTTGGGGCGTATTATTTAAAATGAAAACCCCCATGAAACTAACCCTGAAAACAGTTCCACTGAGATTTCAACCTCCACAGCAGAATTCTACTCTTCCATCTCCTCTCTTGCCTGCTGACTTCTGCTTCACGACCTTAATTCTTTCCATGTTTGTGGTCACAGAATCCATTCCACAATTCTGGTGAGCCAAGGTACTACTCAACGTTGGGTTTCTCTACACCAGACACTCCCACCAATAACACGATTTGATAAAATTAAAAGGGCTGTATCAAAAGACAAAAGGCTGGTTTCTTTCTTTTTTTTTATTGAGTTTATTGGTACATTTAGGGATACAGTATAGTTACATTCATTGTTGGGATCATGTACCTTTACATGGCAAGTCTTGATTCTCATTTTTTCCCCTTACCTCTGCCCTCCCTTCATCCCCTCCTCCCCTCCCCATCTACAAACACTTTATTTTCATCTTTTCATTCTCTCACATTTTTTTCTTTTCCCTTTTTGTTCTTCCCCTACGTATCACACCTTCCCTACACCTTTAGCTCCTTTCCTCCCATTTCTAAATGTCAGTAATCTTATTAGAATCTTATGCATTGTTGCAGAATATTCACACCAGGGAAACTATTTGGTATTTACACATGTGGGACTTATTTATTTCACTTAGGAGTATATC